AAAAAATAGATTTCTAGGGTCTGTTTGGGTACCTAGATAAGCATGTCTTGAGGAAGGTTTATACTAGAATTGACTTCTCCTCGAATTGGTCTATCCATGGGATAGGGTCGTCTGTGGTTTTGAAATTTTTTAATCCCAGATATTGCTAATTCAGCCAATATTCTGATAGGGATTGCCAATCCACCAAGCCGCCACAATTTTTATGGTATGCGATCTGGGTCATTGATCTTTCTTTTTTAAACCTTGCTTTTAGCAATAGCCTCTATTAATCATCTAGTCATTCACCAGATGAATATAAAAGCTGTATTTCTAAATGGTGAGTTAGATTACAAAATTCCCATGGAATAACCCACATGGTGCGGTTTGCAATGACAAACACGAGGCTTGGTATTGCATATGTATTGGGCAAACCTAATAGATATACAAGTTGCACTGATAGAGGGCATTGAGAAATAGTCTATCGAGTGCTAATATATTTGAAAGGGTATCAACTATGGCATACCTTGTATAGGTTATCCCAAGGTGTGGAAAAGATATAGTAATGCAAATTGAAACATTGAAGTCTAAGTTTTAATATTAACATTTGAATGGATTTTTATTTTAACTAAGGGAGTAGTATCACCAGGGTCAACTAAACAAACTTGTATTTCATGCTCAACAATAGAATCATGATTTAGTACTCTAAATTCTGATTGTGAAGAAGCAATAATATTTTGTATAACCTATCAATGTGGCCAAAATCAATATTAGCTATCACAATATAATGTGATAATTATGTACGTATTGCTATAGCATGCAATGATGTATATAATAGTAAATGTAGATATATTGCGTGCAAACATAACTCTATAAATAAATTAATAAGAGAGTGTGATAAGTCTAAAGTTGTTGAAATCAAAGGAAAATTTGGTTGATGCTTAAACAAAGGGCTTTGTAAGAGATGACATTGCTAAAATGTCAGGGAGACTGGGGCTAGAGTCCATAATCACTTACAGTAGAAACCTAACTAGTCTTTTGCATTTTTACAATTCTTGGTTCAATATGGTAAGAACAAATTGTATTCGTTTGTTTAATAGATGAAATTTTTGTAAGCATCCATTTTTAAAAAAATCCATATAAAGTTTAATAGTGACCTGTATGTAAGTAGGTTGAGTTATATATGATGGTTTATAAGTGACAATGTTCAAAAAGTCAAATGCAGCTGCCTCGGTGAGCTCGGAGGTGCAAGAACAAGCCACGGCCCCAATGAATTTTAAAGGCCGGGGTTGAGGTCCCCCCAGGGAGTTCTGTGGTAGTTTAGGGCCCCAAAACTCCTGAAAGAATAAATAATCAGATAACATAATATCCCTAAGATTGATTTTGTAATCTAAATATTCACAAATTATCAAATTTAATTAGAAGTTTCAAACTATTCACAAAATATAAGCCCAAACCGGTAATAAAAAAACAAAATATTCCAACTAAATAAGGTAAAAATGTCAAAAACAAAAATAAACAATAAAAGATATCACATCAATATAAAATCAAAAACGATATCAAGCCCTAATTCAGATATTGTACTAAGCTTTTCAAAATGAATTTCATATAGGTTCAAACCAAGAAATCACAAAATCTGTCAAGTTCTCAACTATAAACACGTGAAAATATCACAAAGAAAAAATATGTAAATGAATATCCAATCATAACACATTATACAAAAATATTCCAAACCTTAATTGAAATATTATAATGCACTAATTTTTTTCAAAATGAAACCGATCAGCGCAAACTGGTGATCTTTGGTCACCAGAAGTCCCCTTAAGAAAACACTTCAAGCTCCAAAAGGCATTAGGAAGTATATCTTTTGAATTCGTAAGAAATAAAAAATATTGAATTTTTTTTATCTTAAAAAAAAAATCTAAAAATCTAAATTATTTTAGCATTTTTCTTTCTATAAACTACACAAAAGGGGTTTTGGGGACTAGAATGCTCCTCAAAACCCCTTTCCCTCATTATAGGGTAAGGAGGAACCCCAAAATACCCCTGACCTAGGGTGTTTTTTGGCCCTCAACTAACCTATATCGGGGTGCCACTAGGCAGGTGCCTAGACATAAGACACCTAGGAATCATGCCCAATAGCTGCTTAGACGGCCTGGCGGCTAAATTTTTGAATCATAGTCAAAGTGTTCTAAGTATTAGGGCACTCATAATAGACACACTTGTATAATTGTGGAAGTGAGGCCACTTCCTACGAGATGTGACTTGTCTCTAGAGCACTCATGAATCATCATGTAAGTACAAGGAAGGCCCAAGGGTTGATAGCTAATGACGCCAAAGATGTATTAAGATGTATAATATTTATGAGTTGTACCATCAGTTTGTTGGTTAAGGAACATGGTTCAAAGCTATATGCTATCATGGAATTTGATGAACTTGGTAGAGTGTACCGTAAGTGAAGTTTCTAACGGAAAGATACAATTATGGTATGTAAAAAATATAGGGAATAAAACATTAACCCCCTTTCTAAAAGTGTAATCCCAAATAACCCCTTAGTCCTTTGAATATCCATGGAACCCCCTAAGTTAAATAAAAAACGATGTTTAACCCCATTACCTTTTCTATTGTCTAAATTAGATAATTTACCTCTCTCTTTTCTTCATCACCCTATTATTTACATCCTAGAAAACCTTTCATTCTCTTTTTCTTTCTCTTCTGTCTTCACACATGAGCCTTTTCTTCCCTTTCTTTCTAGCCACCTTCTCTAATTACTTCTCTCTATCATCATGTGAACCTTACAAGTAAGTTAAACGATGCAGCACAAACTCAATTTTTATGATAATGATAGTAGTAAAAAAAAAAGGTAAATTATGTATTTGGACAATGAAAAATGTAAAAGGGGGGGTTATTTATGGAGACTAGGGGTTATTTGAGACAATAATCCTATAGAGTGGGGTATACGTCATTTTTTCAAAAATGTATTGTTGCCTATGTTTTTCATATCATTATGAAATAATGGAGAGTATTTTCGAGTTTGAAAAAAAGTATATTGCATTTCAAAGTAGCATACTGCCAAATGTAAATTTATTAAGTTTTTAATAATGAGATAAAAAGTGGTGGACTTTTAGTCTCACATTGAATGACAGAATGAAGAAAAAATGAGTATTTTTATAGAGCTGAGGCTCTAAATAATGAAATTTGAGCTTGCCTAAAAATTTCACTAGAAGAGGTTGTTTTTTGATACCCAAATATCATCAAATTGATCATTTTAACATCAAAACACATGGACATGAGAAAAACATGGATTTCAAGTTTTAGAAATACTGTATTTTGTAACACATTTTTGGACAATTAATTTTCAAGATTTTCAAGTTTTCATATATATGTCGATCTACAATCTTTTTGTAGCTTTAAACTTTATAAATAACGATAAAAATATATTTTAAGGCTATCACAAAGATTTCCAGTATTGAAACTACATTTCTCAACACTATTTGAAGGTAGGCTCTAATTTGATTGTTTAGAACCTAGTCTCAATACAAACCTCACCCAATGTTATTTTGGGAAGGATGAAGTTTCTAAAAGGCCTAGGCTTTATGAAAAGAAAATAAAGCCTCACCTCAAATCCTCATCCGGAAAGCATTTTCGGCATCAGAAATCTTTATGATGGCTCTAAAATTAATTTCCAACAGCAACAAAAAAAATTTAAAACTAAAAAAATGTAACAGATCTGGTGGATCTGCAAACACTTATTTTTAGGGCGAAATGAATGGTTTAGATGATTTGTTGCAATATACACTATTTTAAAAATTTGAAATCCAAAATTTTTGCACAACCATAATGTTCAAGCTGAGATGATTGATTTAAAGGCTTTTCATCACTTGCATTTGTAAATTATACAAAAGTTATATACCCCCAAACAAAATCTAGTTGTCCAATTTAAATCAAGTGAGCTATTGATAGTTTAATCTAGATCCGATGCCCCATAGTATTTTAATTTTTTATGTGCCATTATCTCAATGGAGTGCAGCTAAAAATATTTACAATAAAATAAAATAAAATAATCAAAATACCTCTTAAAATTTTATGGGTATTTTGATCATTTTATTTTATCATGTCTGTTTTTATATTTTTTGTAGGTGTGAGTTTAAAAAAATAATGTGAAAATTAAAAATAATAATTATATTAAAAAAATATTTGGACTGTTAATTACACTTATTTTTAGATGGACCACCTATTTGCATTCATCTTTAAGATATACCTCTCGACACACATATTGTACAAATGCGGTTCAGCCTGAATAAAACAATTTTTCTACTTTCATTATGCAACTATCTGACCAATTCAAAACCAAAATTTATAATGATACAGGAAATTAGTGTGTATTTTATGTCACCACGGGACATATATTGTACACTTCCCGAGCTACTTACTCAACAAAGAATTACCATGTGATTATTCTTAAAGAAAAAAAATTGGATTTTGAGTTCTTCAACTATTAAATCTCATCGAAGTTTTTTTGTTTTTTTGGTAATTAGAAATTAGAAATTAGGAAGCTCTCCTACTCAAATCTCTGGATCCGATTTTTTCAAGAGTATATGCTTTTGAGTTTTTGTTTTTAGTAATTGGGCCTATAAGGTTACATCCCCTAAAATTGGGATCCTACGAATCTGGATTTTATTCAAGGAAGAAATTAACACTGTGCTCCTGCATGGAATCTAACCTTTTGACTAGATCATGGAGTAAGGAGATCCAGATAGAGAGGTGAAGAAGATACAGCAGTGTGCTCCTGCATGGAATCTAACCTTTTGACTAGATCATGGAGAAAGGAGATCCAGATAGAGAGATAAAGAAGATAGAGAGAGAAAAAGGAGATCCAAGAGAGAGCATTAGAGAGAGAAAGAAGATCCAAGAGAGAGCATTTAGAGATAGAAAGAAGATCCAGAGAGAGAATATAGAGAGAGAAAGGGGATCCAGAGAGAGAGAGAAGATCCACATAGAGAGAGTATTAGAGAGAGAAAGAAGATCCAGATAGAGAGCTTTAGACAGAGAGAGAATTTCCAGAGAAAGCGATGGGGGCCTGCATTTTGCCTGTTCCCAGGGAAAGGCAGCTGGTCCCCATCCCACAAATTGAGGATAAGCAGTGATAGATTAACCCATTTTTAGATATTAACTCAGATATTATCCGTAATGTTACAAAAGTTGTTAAAGTCTATACTTTACTGATTAAGAATTTGTCTGCAAAGGTTTAGGGCAACGACAAATCTCATCCTTACTCAGATGGTTATTATATGGTTAGCATGACTCTACGTTCACTGCTAATTTTAGTGCAGGGGTTTGCCCTAAAATCATTCCAAGATAAGAGAATAACCTAAAAATGGCGCTCTAGCTCCATTGACTTAACTTTTCAGGAGTTTTAAGGTAATCCGTTCTCTCTCTTTTGAGGAATAATCGAGAAAATTAGAGCTTTTTTGTTGGATTGCTTGCGTATATTGGCTTGTTTTCGTGAAAAAAGGTTCAGAGACTGGGTTTGCCTCAAAATTTTGGTCTAGGTTTACTTGCATTCGAGGTTTTTCCAGTGTTTTTCTTGATTCATGGTGCTGAAAGTGATCTCCAATAATCTGTGAAGCCCTTGTTTTTTCCTGTGATGTTCATACTTTGGGTTGTGGTTTAGCAGTTGTTTTCATCACAAACCCAGCCGAGTCCTGTTCATGGTGCCACAATTGATATCGTCTCATCTGTAAAACCCTGGTTTTCATTGTGGTCTTCATACTTTAAACCTCAGTTTTCGTTGTGATATTCACTCTTTTTCTTCCAAGATCAGTTCTTGTTGTATAGAGATCATTCTAGGGCATAAAAATGGCGACATGCATTCGACCATGTGACTACAGGTTCTCCTGCAAATCACCCCTAAACCCCATCTTCTTCTACTCTAGATTAAAACACCTCCCTGCTCGAAAACTCCATGTTTCGCAAATCCCCAAAATGTCATTGAAAAAACGCAATGATTCTTTGCAAATTCGCGCTGAGTCCAACGGTGGCAACCTAGAAACCCTTCAACCAAACCCTTTCCAGATATTATCAGAAAATGGGGTTCCAAGAGGTAAGAGAACCGACATCAAGAAGATAATGATCTTGGGTGCTGGTCCCATAGTGATTGGGCAAGCATGTGAATTCGACTACTCTGGTACTCAAGCATGCAAGGCTTTACGAGAAGAGGGATATAAAGTTGTGCTCATAAACTCAAACCCTGCAACTATAATGACCGACCCTGAGATGGCTGATAAAACCTACATTTCACCCATGACCCCAGAACTAGTAGAGCAGGTCCTTGCAAAAGAGAGGCCTGATGCCCTTCTTCCAACCATGGGTGGCCAGACTGCTCTCAATCTTGCCGTAAACTTGGCGGAAAGTGGTGTGTTGGATCGATTGGGGGTCGAGCTTATTGGGGCTAAGCTTGATGCCATTAAAAAGGCAGAGGATAGAGACTTGTTTAAGCAAGCGATGGCAAACATTGGGCTAAAGACCCCACCCTCTGGTATTGGAACCACCTTAGAGGACTGCTTAGACATTGCCAACTTTATCGGTGAATTCCCTCTTATTATAAGGCCTGCATTCACCCTTGGTGGAACAGGGGGTGGGATTGCTTATAATCGTGAGGAGTTCGAAGCAATATGTAAGTCAGGTCTTGCTGCTAGCTTGACTTCTCAGGTTCTGGTCGAGAAATCTTTGTTGGGATGGAAGGAATATGAGCTTGAAGTAATGAGGGATTTAGCTGATAATGTGGTGATTATTTGTTCAATCGAGAACATCGATCCAATGGGTGTGCACACTGGGGACTCAATCACAGTTGCCCCTGCTCAAACTTTGACTGACAAGGAGTATCAAAGACTTAGGGATTACTCGATTGCGATAATTAGGGAGATTGGGGTGGAATGTGGAGGATCAAATGTTCAATTTGCTGTGAATCCAAAAGATGGGGAGGTCATGGTGATTGAGATGAACCCAAGGGTGTCTAGGTCTTCGGCTCTGGCATCGAAGGCCACTGGTTTTCCTATTGCGAAGATGGCTGCTAAGTTGTCAATTGGGTACACATTGGATCAGATACCAAATGACATTACTAAGAAAACTCCTGCTAGTTTTGAGCCATCCATAGACTATGTGGTGACTAAGGTAACTTCTCATTATAGTTCTTTCTATCGCTTTGTCTTTGCATTTGTTGACTAGTTGTTACTAGATCTTTGATGTGCCTTGAGTTGTCTATGTCGCAATTGATTTTGTAATTTTTATTGCCATTTGGTTTTGTTCTCTTTGAAGTTATCTTCAATTGAAATGTTTCTGAAAAGTTTTTGATACATAATTAAACTGCAATGGATTGCTGACGTTTATAATGGTATCATGAACAATTTTTGGTGTTTGAGTGGAACTTTTGATGTTCTGGGTATTCATTAGTGTAATATAATGTTGCCCTTTACTTGTGCATGTTACAAGTGCAAGTGTCATGAAGAAATATCAGAGTATTGTAAATATGAAACCTTTCCTATAATGCAGTAGTCATGTTATCTGTGCATGAAACTTTGTGTGATGTGGTAGTTCGTTTACTGTGCCATATCCATATGGCAATATGGTTTCTCTTGACAGTTACCATGTCCTTTTGTTCCTAGTGGTATTAGAACTTTTCTCTTTCTATTGTGGAAAAGGGAAAGTTCTTATTTTGAAGTGGCCAAGTTTTATGTCTAAACAAACGTAACTGTGATAATGATCGAATCATACTTATAGAAGATTACCAAAAAAAAAAAATTCCAAAAAAAGAAGAAGAAAGGATGCCTATCCCAAAAAAGAGAAAAGACAGTATCCTTCTAGAAAGAAACAGAGATATGATGATTACTTGTGCCCCAATATGATCAAGTCTTTTTTTATTTTTTTCTGTGTCTCTATTATTTATTTCCTACTTCCATGCTGTTTATTTAGAATATCGCTGATGTTTCATATATTGCTTTTGTAATCTTATTTTGTCTTTTGTGTGACCTAAATTTTGGGGACAACTTTGACTTGATTCTTTCTTGAATTCCAGTATATGCAACTGAAGAATTTCCCATTGATACAATTGTTTACTTGACATGGATAATAACATATTTTGCAATATAGTAGTTTATTTATGAGGTGTCATGTTTACTATAGTACTTAATTGCTTTTGTCCAAAATAATTAAGGTTTTCTTATGTTTGGTAATGGTCTGGGTATTCGGCACTGTTGATTTCTTTTATTTTCTTTTCTTGTTTTTGATTGTTGGGGATTTGATGCTGTTGATGATGTTTTTTCTATGATGAACATTTAGTTATCTTTCTTTAAGAAAGATTAGAATTTTCCTTTCACATGTAATGTAGGTGGCGGTGTATATGCCATACTGATTATACATTGGCTAACTATCCAGAAGGATAAAATTTTATTTGGCCTTAATAATGAAATTCCTTGTTGCATTTACCTTTTCTTCATGCTTCTGGTTTTGTTTTGTCTGGATCTTGAATCGTTTTTTTTTTTTGGGAATATTCTTCTCACTGTTTGATCGGCAAACACGTTATCAGGTAGTAGATGTCCTTGCATGCATTGACATATAATAATCTGTTTATATATACACACTCCCTTATATATTTTTATATGTAACATGCATGTGTATGTACGTACACACATACACCTTTCACACACTCACGCATTTGTTTGTTTTTTTTTTTATCTAATCGAGGCATGCTCTTTTCCCTTATTTTGTGGTTGGAATCCCACAAAGCCCTCATTTCACATTAACCTCCACAATTTTCTGATAGTGAATTAGAATGACAGAAGTCTTCAATGGATCTTTAGTATTATAAACCATGGTGCTGTTTTATTTCTTGCCTTTTTTTTTTTCCTATGAGTATGTACGCCATGCTTTTGAATAATCTATTTATCCATCAATAGCATCACCTTGGTTAGCAAAATAATATATTGGAAGACCCCAACTTATTTGATATTGTTAAGGAGTTTGATGTTGGTCTGAAATGATAAACTTTCTGCATTGTCATTTAGTTATTCTCAAGGCAGCCTCTTTTTTAATGGCTTCTTCTCAGTACAGCTCGCGAATGGATCTTTCTATAACGGTGAAATTACTTGCATGCGATGAAATGTTGTTCCTTATAGTGATGCTTAGAGAAAGGACTGCTTCTATGTTCTCAGGGAGGGAGGGAAGAGGAAAAAAAAGAGGAAAGAGAGGGGGGGGGAAGGTAGTTAGGGAGGGCTGCTTCCATAGTTTGTGACTTTGACTTTGGGAAAATACAAAATAAGAATATAGCATATAGCACACTCTTTGTAAGCATTGACATGCATAAAATGGGAATATTCACTATATGACTTCTCTATGAAGTGTGAGGATTCCTGAATATTTTCCTACAGTTCCCCACTGTTGGGCCCCTTTTCCCTAAGCACCGAGTTGGTGCATGCAGCCAAGTGCACAGGGTGCGTGCAGCCTGGCGTGTGCGGTAAAAGGTAGGCCTGTGGCTAGGCAGGCAGCCTTGTGCGCAAGGATGCGAGGCGGAGTGGCAAGTGTAAGAGGCATGCCAAGCCTAGGCAACCTGTGCATGTGGGTGAAGACAGCTTGGTGCAAGTAAGGCTGCTGAAGGTGCGACAGATGCAGGGTGTAGGTTGACTTGGGTAGTTCAACTTGGGTGGATCAGCCTAGTGGGGCTGAGGAGGTGTATGGATCAGCCTGGTGGGGCTGGGTATGCGCGTGGGGCAGCTTGGTAGGGCTGCACTGCCTTGGTCTTAGGGTTGTGTTCCCTAAGACTAAGTTGTGCTAGTTGGGTTCTAGGAGCAGACACGCCTCAGGACCAGGGAATTTGATACTACTCCTATGATTAAGGGGAGTGGGAGAGCCTTCCATCTAGGTGGGCAGACACCTGTAGAGGCTTGCAGTGGGCTCAACTAGGGGACTCGACCTGGTGAACATGGTCAAGTGGACCATGGGCCTAGGTGAGCTGTGTACCTGTGGCTGGGCAGGTATGTGTGTGTGAGAAGGTGTGCACAAGCAGAGGGCTTGATGTGGTGACTTGGTCAGGTGGACCTTGCACAAGGACGAGCCGTGCACCTGTGGTTGGGCAGGTGCGTGTGCCCTTGCAGAAGGTGGGCTGAGGGTTGAGTGGGTGCCTGAGTGGGAAGGTGTCCCATTTGAATTCAAACCGACCTTATTGGGTGATGTGGTAGGATCCACATGTTTTGAGGCCGAAGACCAGGGTACAAGACTCGGTCTTCCCCCGACATGGCAAAGGCCACAAGACTAGGATAGCCAGAGGGCTTGACCTGGTGAGACTTGGTCAGGTGGGTCAGATATGTTCGAGTCGGGTGTGACGACTCAGGCAGGTCGTGACGACCCAATGAGCGCTCAGATGGCCAGGCTGACTTGACGGTGGAGCACGCAGATGGGGCGTGAGTTGCAAGACGTTGCAACACGCGGACAGGGCGTGAGACGCGGGACGAGCACGAGGACGGGGCGTGACTTGTGGGACGTTGTAGCACGCAGGCGGAGAGTGAAAGCAGGACAAGCACGCGGGCAAGGCGTGACGAGCTGGCGTGCGAGACGCGGGTGATGGGCGTTAGATGCGAGGTTGGCACAATGGGCGGTTGTGCAGAGCTGGCGCGCGAGGCACGCGGGATGGGGCCTGAGACTAGGTCTCACGCTAGACGTGGCCGAGGCTGAGGCCTCGGCCCTAATCGATTGTGAGGTGGACTGCTGGTGGACAGCCAGCTGCCCAGGGCGTGGTGCGTGAGCTTCACGTGTTGTGGTTTCAAAATGTATGGGGGGGCTATAAAACCCCTTGCCTGGCCTTAGTGAAAGGAGAATCGTGGCTTGTACACATTTAGACTGTTTCGTAAAATTGGGCTTGTGGTTTCTTTTCCTCTAACCCCCAGCTCTAGATTGTGTGATTGTGTGTGGAGGCTGGTCTAGCCTTGGATTTAATATGGATCAGGGCTTGATGCTGCATGGGTGGAATGCGAAAAAAGTGACCCCGTGACAACTGGTATCATAGCAGGCTTTATGCATGGTTGGTGGGATGGCCGACCTGTGTGAGCATGTGGGAAATCTAGAGATGAGATTGGAGGAACTTACCCAAGGAGGCCAAGATGGAGGGTTGGGTGTAAACCTTGCTGTCTTGGAGGTCCGATTCGGTGCGGTGGAGGAACGCTGCGGAGTTTGTGATGCTCGTATGGGAGAGCTCATAGACGATGTCAAGGCCTTCACAAAGTTTTTCACCTCATGGCTCGAGTCCATGAAAGATGATTTGTTGCTGATCAAGAGGGCCTTGGGGAGCATCAGCGGAGGGCTGGACTCTCGTATTGTGAGAGTGCCAGAGCCTCATGTGTTTGATGGCCAGCACAACTTGAAGGTGGTCGAGAACTTCTTATGGGACATGGAGCAGTATTTCGAAGCTGCCCATACCCATGAGAAGGATCGCGCGGCGGTCTGCACAATGTTCCTCGCTGGAGATGCCAAACTCTGGTGGAGGATGCGGGTGGTTGATGATTCAAGGCCCAAGGTGAGCTCTTGGGAAGACTTGAAGAAGGAACTGAAGGAGTAATTATTGCCAGGCAATGCTGCCTGGGTGGCGCGCGAGGCTTTGCGAAAGCTTTGGCAGTCGGGCTCAGTATGCGACTACGTGAACGAGTTCGCGTCACTTATGCTCGACATACAGTCGATGTCTGAGGAAGACCGGCTATTTAACTTTGTGTTTGGGCTGCAGAGCTGGGCCCAGGCTGAGTTAAGGAGGCAAGGCGTGTGGGACTTGCCCACAGCCATGGCGGCAGCTGAGGGCCTAACTGACTTGAACCTTCACCGGGTAGTGGAGTCAAACCGCGAAGGAGGGCCATCGAGGGCGAATGGCGAGAAGATGGCCCGCGATAGGTGGACCAGAACCCAGAAGGGGGTAGCTCAAGAGAAGGAGGCACCCTGGAAAGCCTTCTGAGGCTACTTTAGATGCGGAGGCAACCATCGAGTGAGGGACTGCCTGCAAAAGCAGACCCTCAACGCGGTGAACCTTGTACAGGAGGACGAGGGTACCCAAGTGCAGCTGGGTTCATTGAACTTAATGAATGCCATGCAGCTTAGTTCGACCAAGGAACAAGATTGGGAGGAGACCAAGTTATGCGTCCGCGTAGAGGAGTTGGACTCAGAGGAGTCCAGTGATGACTCAAGTGGAGCCATCAAGCGAGCCCCATCGGTGGTGAGGGTGGGTTAGATGGAAACATCATCTGACTCATCTATTCGGTGGGAGATACCCTTTGACTCATCGGAGGGTAAGACATCATCGGCTAGTGGAAGGTGTGATCAACCTTGCCCTAGTGGTGCCATAAAGAGGAAGTTCGGCAACCGGCATGAGTATCGCAGGCGTTGGTCGACTTGCGAGTAGGCTGGAGGGAAGCTGTCCTCTTGATGTCGCAGGAGGCGACACGGATCGTGGTGGCAGCCTCGGAACTGGCCATGGACCCTTGCACTCGGTGGCAGTGAAGGACCTAACCTGGTGCATAAACATGATCTTGGCGGCAGCAATGGACCTGGCCAAGAGGGCTAACTACTTGGTGGCAACAACGGAACTAGCTAAGTAGATGAGCTGGAGACTTGGTGGTAGCAATGGACCTGGTCAAGTCGGCAGAGCAATGGCTTGGTGGAGTGTCTTGATGTTTTGCCTTGAACTGTGGTTTTATGGGGACCTAGGGAGAGGCAGGTGTCTTCAAGACGAGTTCAGCTTGGTGGCAGCAAACGGTATTGGCCAAGTGAATGAGAATGGCTTGGGGGCAAGTGGACCTATCCAAGTGGGCTAAGCGGAGGCTTAGTCTGTTGAGTATGGACCTTGCTCTGAGTTGGGTTTTATGGGGACCTAGCGAAGGGTGAAACTTCCGACGAGGACATCGGAGTTTAGGTGGGGGTGCCTTGTCAGGCCCCTTTTCCTTAAGCACCAAGTTGGGTGCACAGGGTGCATGCAGCCTGGCTGTGAGGTAAAAGCAAGGCCTGCAGCTAGGCAGGCAGGCAGCCTTGTGCTCAAGGATGCGAGGAGGAGTGGTAAGTGCAAGAGGCATGCCAAGCCTAGGCAACCTGTGCGTGTGGGTGAAGACAGCTTGGTGCAGGCGTCTGATGCAAGTAAGACTGTTGAAGGTGCGACAGATGCATGGTGCAAGTACGACTGCTAAAGCTGCGACAGATGCATGGTGCAAGTCGGCTTGGGTAGTTCAACTCAGCCTAGGGGGCTGAGGAGGTGTATGGATCAGCCTGGAGGGGCTGGGTATGCACGTGGGGCAGCTTTGTGGGGCTGCACGACCTTGGTCTAAGGCTTGTGCTGCCGAAGACTAAGTTGTGCTAGTTGGGCTCTAGGAGCAGACATGCCTCAGGACTAGGGATTTTGATACTACTCCTATAATTGAGGGGAGTGGGAGAACCTTGTGTCATGGGTGGCTAGCAATGGACAAGGCTCTGTCTAGGTGGGCAGACACCTGTGGCGGCTTGGAGTGGGCTCAACTAGGGGACTAGACCTGGTGAACATGGTCAAGTGGACCATGGGCCTAGGTGAGCCATGTACCTGCGGCTGGGCAGGTACGTGTGTTCGAGATGGTGCAAACAAGCAGAGGGCTCAACGTGGTGGCTTGGTCAGGTGGACCTTGCACAAGGACGAGCCGTGCACCTGTGGCTGGGAAGGTGCGGTGCCCTTGTAGAAGGTGGATTGAGGGTTGAGTGGGTGTATGAGTGGGAAGGCATCCCATTCGAATTCAAACCAACCTTAGTGGGCGATGTGGCAGGATGCCATGTTTGGAGGCTGAAGACCAGGGCGCAAGACTCGGTCTTGCCCCGACGTGGCAGAGGCCTCAAGACCGGGATAACTAGAGGGCTCGACTTGGTGAGACTTGGTCAAGTGGGTCAGGTATGTGCGAGCCGGGTGTGACGACTCAGGCAGGTCGTGATGACCCAACGAGCGCTCAGATGGCTAGGCCGACTTGATGGTGGAGCACGCGGACATGGCGTGAGTTGCAGGACGTTTGTAGCTCGCAGACGAGGCGTGAGACGCGGGATGAGCATGCGGACGGGGCGTGACTTGCTGGACGTTGCAGCACGCAGACGGAGCGTGAGACTCGGGACGAGCACGCGGGCGAGGCGTGATGATCTGGCACATGAGGCGCGCGGATGGACGTGAGATGTAGGGCTTGCACATTCGGGCGGTTGTGCCGAGCTAGCGCGCAGGATGGGGCGTGAGAGTCTCACGCCAGACGTGGCCGAGGCCGAGGCCTCGGCCCCAACCGATTGTGAGGTGGACGACTGGTGGGCAGCCAGCTGCCCATGGCGTGGTGCATGGGCTCCACCTGTTGTGGTTTCAAAATGTGTGGTGGGGCTATAAAACCCCTTGCCCGGCCTTGGTGAAAGGAGAACAGTGGCTTGTACACATTTAGACTGTTTAGTAAAATTGGGCTGAGGCCCCTTTGCTATCTTTGTGTATGTGCTGTGTGGTTTGTTTTCCTCTAACACCCACCTCTAGATTGTGTGATCGTGTGTGGAGGCTGGTCTAGCCTTGGACTGAGTGCGGATCAGGGCTAGACACCGCACGGGTGGAATGCGCAAAAAGTGACCCCGTGACACCCACCATACTTGTGACCATTATGAAAGCATTGTTTGATATTTTAGCAGTGATTGTGGTTTACCTGATTTCTCCACATTGACCATAATGCTCAAATTTACTGTAATTAATGAAATTACCCATTTCCAAGGAATGAACTTACTGAAGTTTGGCACTCTAACAATGATTTTAGGTTAGTATTACAAATCTGCAGTTATCTGTTTTGCCAAGAATGCTCAGATTTGAGATTGCCCACTGTATTTTTGCAGATACCTCGGTTTGCATTTGAGAAGTTCCCAGGTTCTCAACCGATACTGACAACCCAGATGAAGTCAGTCGGTGAGTCAATGGCTTTAGGTCGTACATTTCAAGAATCATTTCAGAAGGCGGTTAGATCACTAGAGACAGGACATCCAGGGTGGGGTTGTGAGCCTGCTAAGGAATTGGACTGGGATTGGGAACAACTCAAGTATAGCCTTCGCGTTCCTAATGCAGATCGAATTCATGCAATATATGCAGCGATGAAGAAGGGAATGCGGGTTGAACAGATTCATGAGCTCACCCTTATTGACCCATGGTTTCTTTCGCAGCTTAGAGAGCTCTTGGATGTTGAAATGTTCCTTTCAGCCACAAACTTGTCTCAACTCACCAAAGAAGATTTTTATGAAGTAAAGAAGAGGGGTTTCAGTGATAGACAGATTGCCAATGCAACATCATCCACCGAGAGAGATGTACGTGTTAGGAGATTGTCTTTGGGTGTGACTCCAGTGTATAAGAGAGTTGATACTTGTGCTGCAGAGTTTGAAGCTGATACACCTTATATGTATTCATCATATGATTATGATTGTGAGTCTGCCCCCACTAAGAAGAAGAAGGTGTTGATATTGGGTGGTGGACCAAACCGTATTGGACAGGGTATTGAGTTTGATTATTGCTGTTGTCATGCATCTTTTGCTCTTCAGGTTAGTGTTTCTTTATATCGGGTTCCATTATTGTCCTTTTATGCTTTTTTTCAAGTTGTTTGATGTTCACTGCATAAGGCAGAATCTACTCGCCTAACATCAATATGAATGGTTGGTGTGGATGCATACCATCCCTTGAGGCTGTGACGGCTACCGGAATTTGAAACATAGGCTGATTTATGAACTATTTAGTGGCAAATATTCTCCAATATGCCATATTTAAATCAAAAAAATGAGGGCATTGCTTCCATTTTTTACCAAATCTTACTTAATCGCAATTTCCGGTGGGCAGCCAAGGTAGGGCTGGCTACAAAGCATCAAATACAAAAAATTTGCAGTTGATTGATTTCTCAAAGATTTTTTCCTTTTCTTAATCTTAAATTTTTTTTAAGAAAATGAAACTTTGGAAAGGAAAAAAGAAAAGAGAAGAAAGAAAACTAGTCTAATGAGCAAAAGGGAGTTTGGAATAACCCGCCAATGTCTTTTTCCACATAGCGGGCCTGGCTATGAAAATGCCCATGGCCCAAGGGCATTTTTTGCCCTCAGGCCACTGGCAGCCCAAGGGGGGCACACCTAGGCTTTCACCTAGGGTTGGCCCACCTAGGTGGGTTCACCTCTCTCCTTTTGAAGGTTGAGCTATGCTTTAGGCAAGGCGCCTAAGCTCCCATCTGCCTTGAGGTGCCGCCTAGGTGCCCATGGAAGGAACTTTTACCAATAAAGAAGAAAAATTCAGGAATAAGATCTGGACATGTTAGCTCCTAATACCCGCTCAATAATATTGGCTGAAATCTATTTAATAGTTTCTTTGCCTCTCCCTCTTTTCCCTTAAGATATTTTTGTTGAAATTCCAAGCGTTGTACTAAGGTGATAACTCATGTGTTGTCATGTGCATGGTGCAGGCAGCTGGTTATGAAACCATAATGATGAACTCAAACCCAGAGACGGTCTCAACTGACTATGACACCAGTGACCGCCTCTACTTCGAGCCCCTCACAGTTGAGGACGTCCTCAATGTCATCGACCTCGAGCGTCCTGATGGGATCATCGTTCAGTTTGGGGGCCAGACCCCACTTAAGCTTGCCCTCCCGATACAACACTTCTTGGACCATCACAAACCCATGGCCGCAAGTAATCTAGGCCCAATTCGCATTTGGGGCACATCCCCTGACTCCATAGACGCAGCTGAAGACCGAGAACGATTCAATGCCATCCTTAATGAGCTTGGAATCGAGCAACCGAAAGGGGGGATAGCAAAGAGTGAAGCTGATGCTTTAGAGATTGCAAGAAAAGTTGGGTACCCAGTTGTGGTCAGGCCCTCTTATGTTCTTGGCGGGCGGGCCATGGAAATAGTGTATAGTGATGAGAAGCTTGCTCGGTACCTCGAAAATGCAGTGGAGGTGGACCCTGAGAGGCCTGTGTTGGTTGATAGGTACTTATCAGATGCTTGTGAGATTGATGTTGATTCTTTGTCGGATTTGGATGGTAATGTGGTGATTGGGGGTATAATGGAGCACATTGAGCAGGCAGGGGTGCACTCCGGTGACTCAGCATGCTCACTCCCTACAAAGACAGTGCAACCTAAGTGCCTGGAAACCATCAGGACTTGGACTAAGAAGTTAGCTAGACGTCTCCAGGTATGACTGTATCTTTTATGCTGGAAATGTTTCGTGAAGTCTATATGACTTACACTGCTGGATTTAGATTTAGAGTTTGTTTCCGCTTTAGAAGTTTATCATATTTTTTGACGCTTTGAATGGGTAGATGGAGAATCTACATGTTGGCCATTTTACCTTACCTGGCAGCTGAGTTGAACTGAAGTTTTGCTTTACAATGTTCAAGAAGACAGGGGCGGCAGCCCGGGCAGTTAGGGTTTCCAATGGCCTGGTGGGCAGAGGAGAAAGAAGAAAAGAGAGGAAAGGGGGAGGGGGGTTTTGTGGGTTGGTTTTCAAATTTCAAATTTCAAATTTCAAATTTGCATTATAAATTAGAAACAAAGCCAAATATAGCCAAAAATATGTTATAATCACAAAATAGAAAACCCTTTAAAAAAAAACTAACATAAAGTTTTATCATAAATGTAAATCCAAACTTCAAAAATAAAAACAAGAAAATGATAAAAAGCATAACATAACACAATACTCACTAAAATTGCTTAACACAATACTGGACAGCCTACCCAAGTGGTTGGGTGGCCGATTTTTTAAACATAGTTGCTTAATGTCATATGAAATTCTGCATTTGAAATAACTTTAGTTAATCAATGTGTTACTTATCACTATCAAAAGCAAAAAATCAAAATAAAAAATCCAAGAAGAAAAATGCATTTTTGCCTTTTCTGATTGATTCTTTTGATCTGTGTTTAAAAAAACACAGATCAGTGGGGTGGATCGTCCTTCGACCAATCCTGTATCAGATCGCCATATCGCCGATCTCTATCAGTCTGGATAGACGATCTGATCTTGATCGGTGATCTGAGAAATACTTAAAAAAATAAAACAAAAATCTAAACATATAGCTTATTGGGCCCCAAACTTGTTGCAAAAGGTTGGGAGGTGCTAGTCAGAGCGCTCTTTGAGCAGTTTAGTAATTGTTATCAATACTATATAACATATACTTGATAAATCACTTATTCAGCCAAGAATTGGAATGTTCTTGAGTGATTCCCGATCTCGATTGGACGATTCCCGGTCCTGATTGCAATATTTGAAATACCGCTTTTGATAGAATGTTGAACTCTAGGTGTTTTCTGCGGAAGTTACAAAAAACATTTATTTAGTTTGGTCATTTTCTTTTTTGTACATCAACACTTTCAGTTACTTCATTAAAAAAAAATACTTTCAGTTGAAATGAGCAAAGATCAACTTGACAGCTCTAATAATAGCTTGCTATTCGCATTCAAACCACTCTCTCTTTCTCTGTCTGTCTGTGTTTTACTCATTGTGGCTAATGACTGCTGGTCTTTCAAAGTGATATGGTGTATGCATGTGGCTAAAGACTGCTCCAATCTAGTCAGTATTGTAGGTAGTGCGGACTGATATCCAAGGAGCTATGGGACATAAGCTATACATAGTGATTGAGAATGTTCAATATGGTGGTGTGGAAGAATGATTAAAGAAGCTGTATCTCATAGGATTGGTGTGGTGAAGAAGAATAAGACATGCAACATACACTTTAGAAAACATATCTATGAATTAATGTGTTCAATTATGAAAACAAACTTTCATAAAAAAGGAAAAAAGAAATCTTAAGGCTAAATCCTTGTATATGCTGATGATGTTACTGATTGATTAGCTAAGGAGTGGGCTTGAATATCTTACGTTCTTGGTCTAAGAGATTATTTGGTTGTAGGCTAATCTAACCTCCTACTTTCTTGGTTTTTCTTTCTAATTCTCTATATGGCTCTTTTTTGCTTTCTGTGCATCTTCTTATGCATATTCTTACGTACTACTGAATTACAACTTAATGTATACTTCTTTTTCTTGATGAATTAAGCACCAAACATAAGGAAAAATAAGACTTTTGAATTTATAACACTCATGGTGAACTTAGATTCATGATCATCATCATCCGAGCCTTATCTCAGCTATTTGGGGTCGGCTCAGGGTGAACCTAGATTAGTATTCCAAAACAATTTTTTTTGTTTGATAATACTATTCCAAAACTTTTGACTACAAAATTCCCTTATATACTAAAAAATGACTTTTGATTATACATGGTACATGTATTTTAGGAAGGGAATTTTCTCCTCTCAAAATCCATCCAAAACTCAATTTCAAATTTTAAAAAAATTCGTTTGATTTTTTGAATAATGAATTTGAGTGTAATTTTTTTAAAAAAATTACATATTTGTCTTTTTTTTTAAATTTCAAAGAAGTTATTGTTATTATAATTTTTATATTTATAGGAAAATTAGTTGTCAAAACTTTCTAAGTAAACAGTTCTAAGTTCACCATTAGTGTGGTATATTGTAGATAAACCCTATATGTGTGTGTTTGTGTGTGTGTGTGTGTGTGTGTGTGTGTGTGTTGTGTCTGTGAGGGTGTTGTGCATGTGTATGTGTATTTCAACTTAAAAAAAATGTTCATTCATTACTTAAAGGGTATCGTATTCTTTGTAATGTTTTTGCTCATGCAGGTTTGCGGCCTGATGAACTGTCAGTATGCTATAACAGCCTCCGGGGACGTGTTCCTCTTGGAGGCAAACCCCCGAGCCTCACGCACTGTCCCCTTCGTCTCCAAAGCCATTGGGCACCCCCTCGCCAAGTACGCCTCCCTTCTCATGTCAGGTCTATCCCTCAAAAACCTCGACTTCACCCACGAGGTCTTACCCCGTCATGTCTCTGTAAAGGAGGCCGTTCTCCCCTTTGAAAAGTTCCAAGGCTGCGATGTCCTCCTTGGCCCTGAGATGCGAAGCACTGGTGAGGTCATGGGGATCGACTTTGACTTCCCAATGGCCTTCGCAAAGGCGCAAATAGCTGCTGGCCAAAGGCTCCCCCTCTCAGGGGTCGTTTTCTTGAGCTTTAACGACCTAACAAAACCCCATTTGGGGGCCATAGCTCGTGGTTTTGTGGGATTAGGGTTTCGTATTGTGGCCACTTCAGGCACTGCAGGGATGCTTGAGTTGGAGGGGGTTCCAGTTGATCGTGTGCTCAAATTGCATGAAGGGAGGCCTCATGCGGGGGATATGATTGCAAATGGGCAAATCCATGTGATGGTCATTACTAGCTCGGGGGATGACTTGGACCAGATTGATGGGAGGCAATTGAGGAGGATGGCACTTGCTTACAAAGTACCAATTATCACAACAGTGGCGGGGGCACTGGCAACAGTGGAGGCTATACGGAGCATGAAGAGGATCCCGGTGGAAACAATTGCCCTCCAGGAGTACTTTGAGCAGTCGGCAGATGTGAGACAGGAGTTGCGGCCGGCTGGGGCTGTTTGATGAGAGAGAGAGAGGGAGAGTCTTTCTTTGCGCCCTTGGGAGCCAAGCTGTGGATGTTTGTTTTTAGCTTCAGCTCTTTGGTGCCGGGAAAACTTTCGATTACTTTTTTGCATGTGTCAGTAGTGGTGTTGGTGGTGTGGTGGTAAGGTCGGGGATTGAGGCCAGATGAGGGTCCCAAGTTTCTCGCATTCTAGTCTTGGATATAGGAGTTTTGAGTGTTGAATGGTGTTGTATTATTTACGAGTTGCTTCCTGATCCATATGAAAGTAGCTGTAGTCCTGTTCGTTCGCGTCTTATATCAAATTTTGGGGTGGTTCTCTCTTGTTTCTGGTGGTGGTCTCTTTTCTTCTTTTTTTTAACGTACCAGGGGCTCAATGAGGGCCCATAGTAGTAGTGTAACGATGCCTGAGGCAATGGGTGCTGTTCTAAGATATTTGAGCTGTTATATCATCAATTCATCATTCATTGAATTCCTTTTCCTGCATAATGCTTCAAGTACACAAGAAATGCCTTCATGCACAAGTGGGAAAAGATTATGTCTTTTCAGATTGTGCTGCCGCTCAGAAATCATCTCACTGCAAAGAATGGCATGTGTTGGTGAGTTAGCTTAGAGAAATGCAGGGTTTCAGATTGTTCACCTCATTAATACTATAATGCCATATGTCGGTACGTTAGCTTATGGAAATTCATGGTTTTAAAATTTTCACCTCATTTTTGCTAATCGGCGTGTATGGCGTATCCCAGTAGGAGTGGAGAATACCTAGTTTGCAATTTTGCAGGACATCACATTGATCTGTCAGCTGAAAAATTTCACAAAGGAAAAAGAGAAAAAGAAAAAAAAAAGTTTATTGAGTTCTTGGAAACTTTCGATCTCACCGTCTTCTCAATGCAACAGTGGATTTACCAATGGATAGAACACAGAATGATCCATTTTTGAGGTGAGATTTCAATTTTATTATTTTTTCTTTCCTTCTTTTGAAAGTTGATCCTAGGATGAATAGTATTAAAACTCCCTGTGTAGGTTGATGCCCATGGGTAATTTTAGTTGTACTCCCAAATGTGTGTAATATTTTCCATTTGTCTTTGGGTATAAAATCTTTTCCAATTATTAGTGAGCGCTTATATTATGCCCCTACTAGAGCAAAAAATATATTTGGCTCCCTCGGGCAAGGAACTCACACTGGAGGATTTTCTTGTTCTTAGTTTCTAATAATTTTCTTCATTTAAAAATTTAGATTTTTTTTATTAAAAAGAGCGGTGATAGAGTGGCCCACCCTCCTCTTTTAAAATATTTGTGTTTTTTATTTTTATATTTTTGGAATTTTATTATTGAAGGCAGCCGATGCCCATGCCGCCCTATTTTTTTCTAGTGCCCTATTTTATATATTAGTGCCTCTCATTCTCTTTCCTTTTTCCCCATGGGAGCCTCCCATTGAGCTTTGAAATAAGGAAAAAGTTTATATAATGTGTAAACGTTATGGTGTACGAGTAAAGTGGCCCTAAAAAACCAACTAGAGAAAGTTGTTCTTATGTTGGAAAACTCTTAAATCGATCATCTCGACCTTGACCTCGAGATTCATAAACTTGAAAAAGGGGATTTCTAATACTAAAATAGTGTTTTTCTTTTAACATATTATCTGAATTGTCTATTTTTAGGATTTTCAAGTGTTTATAGATTTGATTGATTGTCACCATTTCTAAAAATGTAAAATTTATAATTGGGAGCAACAATAGATTTTCATATCATTGTAAGACTTTGTGGTACCAAACCTGCATTTTCAGCATAGTTTTGATATGCTTTAATAGTATAAAGTTGAAACCTAATACAAACCTTACCCTTGAAATAACAAAATTATTTGTCCTATATTCATAAAGGACTTGGTTTCTATGCAGCCAAGCCTACATATGTAGAAATGCGGGCCTCTTAATAAATCTACTTTTGAGATGGATTTTAAAGCTTAATTTTTAAGGACATTTAATCTCTAACATGGAGATCATGAATATGAAAAAATAAATAAATTTTAAAAATTAAAAATAATAATTCTAGTAAGAAAACATTTGGACCGTTAGTTTCCATTGTTTTAGATGGAACACCTACTTGCATCCACCCATTTTTAAGATAGATGCTTTACACTTTCTGGACCGCATATGTAGAAATGCAGTTCAGCCCAGATGAAACAATTTTCCATTCACAAAATAACAAAATTATTGGAAGCGCATTTAAAATCGAGAAATGGTTTAAATCAAAAGCTGACGTTGAATTAGGTGGAAATTGATTCTGGGTACAGCCATGTACAAGCTAGAGACTAAGTGTCACGCCCCAAGAATTTACAATACTGAAATTCCTGAGATGTGACCGTCAAAACATATATACATCTCTTGATAGGACAAATTTACAGTGGCGAATTCTTACAAAGTAACAAAAGAAAGTTTAAGCACAACTACAATATCTTTCAGAGTTGATCCTGACGAGCACTCAAAATGAAACCGCAGTTATGTTGAAAAAATGTTTACCATAATTTGATGAGTTTGGCTACTCGGTAAGTGATCATCATAATCCTAAAAATAATCATGGTTGAAAGATATCAATATTTTCAAAAAGGAGACCTATTAAAAGAAATGCATCAACAGTTTCACTTTAAAAAATGTATAATTAAGTATAATTCGAATAATTGAAATGCGTATAACATTTTAACGTCAGTGCATAATTCAAAAGATTTCACAAAATACCCTACTGGCGTCCCAATTAGGTCACCTATATACCCCATCAGCGTCCTGATGGGTCTACTTAATCCCTATCGGCGTCCCAAATAGGTCCACTTAATCCCTGCAGGTCCACTTATACCTCATCGGCGTACCTGATGAGTCCACTTAATCCCTAAGACGTACCAGATAGGTCCATTTATACCTCACCGGCAAACCGGATGAGTCCACTTGCATACTTAAAGTATTTTTAAATCTCTTTAAACATTCGAAAGCAGCAATATCATGTACTCAACATATCACTGAAATTATTAATATGAATTTCACTGAAACCATTAATAACAATCAATTTCAATAACATTTCAAAAATAACCAGTCAAATATTTTGGGCTCAAATTTAGAAAGGTAGCAGTTCGTAAAGACATTTTAGCATAATTGTCAATCTAATATGTATAAAAAAAACTCTTATAGAAGTTCAAGAATACAGAATTATCACAATTTATGGGATGTCAATTTGTAAATAAACATTTCACAGACAATGCTATTATCAAATGCAAAAATATCAGTTTTCAAATAATAAGGCAGCCATTTGCACATGAATTTTACAATGTCTAAATATTAAAAAATAGTAGGAAGAAATATCACAATTTTACTAAAAGCAGAAATATCACATTTATTTCTAATAATTTTGCAGTATCTAAAATTCTCTAACAATAGCCAAGAAAAATAAATAAATTTATTTCTAATAATTTACAGCATTTAAAATTTCTAACATAGATAAAATATTACAATTTTATTAAAAAGAGTATTTTTCAAAATAATGGGGTCGCTTGCGTGTAAAATTTATCGCTCCTAAAATTCATGATAATAAGCAGAAGTAATTATTTCATTTCATTTTTAAAAAAGAATGGATTACTTTTCAAGATAATGAAGTCAATTCCATATCAGCATGATGGTCCTTAGGGACCATCACTATTTTTAAAAGCTTTTACCTTAAGCTTTTGCAGCGCCGCCACGTCCTTTAGCGGACGTGGTTTTCATGTGTTAAAAGTGGTTAATTACACAACACCTCATACACATGATAGAGGCGTTTTAAATAAATTAATTAAGACGAAAGGTAAGACGTCGCCTAACAACTCCTTTCTCGCTCTCCCTCTTACAAACACAGTGAGCTCCTCCCTCTAGCCGAATTTTTATCGGAAGCTCCTTCCTTATGCATTTAAGTGTTTTTAAATTGTAAAAATCGAAAATATTTTTAACTCGCAACTAAATGTTTTTTTCTTTCTAGTGGTATGGTATAGATTATAATTTATTTTTCAAAATCCTCCCTTGGCATAAATTATTTTTAAATTGTAAAACACTGCAATAGAAAATTAGAAAATGAGGAAAATGTCCTTATTTAAAAATGAAATTTTTTTTTTAAAAAAGTCTTCTATAAAACCTTATGAGCCTTCTATTAAGGATATTTAATAAAATAAATTTGCAATTAAAAATTCTAACCCTTAGCCTAAAAATTTTATTATGAAAACTCATAATTAAAAATTTAAAACATTAAAAAAGTGTCTCATTCCTTGATCTACTTGAAAGTAAATAATTAATAAAATTAGAAAATAGGTATTTGGGTTCTTCCTTTGACGCAAGGAGACCACCTTCTTTATAAACCGCCATAGTTCCTTGGTGAGAGGTACGGAGACATTTCAATTGCCAACTCCAATTTTTTAAAGAGAAAATTATTATTGAATGTTACCAAAAAAATTCTTATTAAAAAAAAACCAAGTTACAAGATGCATATAAATTCACTGGATTCATTGGGAGGAAGTAATCACCAATGAAGATTGGTGTATTGTTTTTGCAAAACAATAAGCCTCAACATTAGGCTCCCTTTAGCAATGGTGGATTTCAGTGGTTATAGTTTTGAGAATATCCAATATCTCATAAAAATTTTAGTCTAACTTTTATGGTATATGAGCTTTGCCGGTACTCCAAGTTATAATGTTTGTGGAGTCCCTTTTTTTAAAAAAGAAATTATTTTCAATAGGAATTAGGAACTCTAAGCAGAGCTTTCGTAGTGTAGAAATGCAGGCTTGGTAATAAATAAATTTTTTAAATATAATTTGATCCTAAATTTTAAAGAATGTATAATCTTTAATATGAAAATCATGAATATAAAAAAATAAAATTGAAAATTAAAAATAATAATTATATTAAAAAACATTTAGACTTTAGTTCTACTTATTTATTTTATGGTCTTCAAAATGGATGCTTTACACCTTTGGACCGCAAATCGTAGAAATGCGATCCTTTAAAACGACCGTAAAAATATTCAATGGTCAAGAGGCGTACAAACAAAAATAATATTCAATATTCACATATTCTTAAAATTAACAATGCTTTATCTCCATTTTACTTAAAAATACAAAAAGTATTACTTCTATAATTTTTGAATTTTTTAAGTGGATTCTTCCCCTTCTCCTATCCAAATCAGTTTTCGGGAAGGCCGATCAAAGTCGCCAATCCGGGTTTTCGATTGGTACACATTACAGAATTTGTATGGGTGAACCTCCTTTGATGAACCAAGTGTGGTGAGTTCTAGAGAGAGAAATATACGATTTTCAGTTCATTTCTAGAGAGAGAAAGATACCATTTCAGGTCAGAGAGAGAGTATAAAAGTATAAAATAGCGATTTCAATGTATGGAGTGACCCTGCTCTGATAAACCAGTAGTGATTTTAGAGAGAGAAAGGATGCCAAAGAGGACGACACACACTTACTCAAGCGAGGATGCCGCACCCGATGGTCCCCAATCCGACCTCTTCGTCTACTACTGCAAGCACTGCGGAACCCACGTCCTCATCACAGGTACCTACTTCTCTTTCTCTCCCTTTTCATCTTTCTCTTCTTTTTTCTTGCAATTTCATATTTAAACCATCTATTCTCTTGGTTGGGTGAGCCTAATTTGTAGTAATTTGGTCCCCCATTTTCTCTTTCCTCGTTTATTTGTTTTTCTGGCTCTGAAAGGTTGTGCGATTTCTTTGTGTACACTGCTACTTGTTGGCTTCGGGTTCTTGGTTTGTTACTCTGCAAACTTCATGTCCTCTTTCTTTTTGTATTTGTGGTAGGATTTGTTGGGTTCCAAATTGCATTTTGTTGGATTTATGTTTTCCTTTTGTACACACGCACCAGGCATTTATTTGCCTGATTTTTGACTTCACAGTGCTGAATTATAATTTGGGATGATTTGGGTACGGTCCTTCAATGAGCAGAATGGCAGAACAGGATTAATGTAGTGAACCCCAAATAGTTGGGATAAGTCTGCGATGATGATGATTTGAGATGAATGCTCCTTTAGTCTATTACGAAAGAAAAAAATATGAGCTTATGCACTAAATCGCGCTTGACTTGTTAGTGCAAAACAGTCCAATGAAATTGTTCAAATTGCATAAAATATAACACCCCTTTATTGCTAAAATTTTAACAAAAACCAAGTATGAGCATCCCAAAAACCTCAGATCTCTTTCTCAAGATATAAAGATATCTGAAAAAAGTTTCACAACAAAGTGTCGTGCTAGAAATCAGCAAGATGGGCTGCGTGAAACACTAACTTAAGACTCCCAATTTTACAGAGAGTTGATGTTTATAGTTTCAAACTTTGAATTAAACCAGAAAAAGTTCACATTTACTACACATGAAAAGAACAATACACTCTTGAGCGAAAACACATGCCTTCTCTGTGAGCCTCTAATAAATTCTCATCCAAAAAGATCTGATAAAACCTTTGAACTTGACTCATCTCACATGCAACTCTCTTCTACCTCGCTTGTTCTAAAAGATTGTGTCACTCAAAGCTAAATGGTTTTCTTCCCCTTGGAAAGCTCCCTACCATAATCTATTTCTCCCAATATCTTAGGTTTTATCTTGTTTCTCTCCTCTTTGAAACACCCAGAATAAAGTTTCTATTGGGGTCACAATTAAAAGGAAATGGTTTGATGTACTGGCAGCTGCACCGAAAAGAAGAGAAAAAAAAAACACTGTACCAAAAAAGTGGAACTGCCCATCATTTACCCATGTTTTTGAATGTGACAGAAAGTTAGAAACTCTAAATCCATTCTTTACTCTCGAAGATCAATTTTCTGAAGAAAAAATTTGATTAGGAGCCCTAAGAACAAGCCATTTTGACTGCCATCTCAAAATCTGATCTAGACCGTTCATTTCATCGCTAATTTGAGTTGGTGCTTTGTAGAAACTCCAAATTCATTTTCTTTTGATGGACATTTATCTGTTGTAGAGTGCCTCTAGGCTCCTCAATCCATGACAAAGATGGAACTTGTGGTACGTTAATGGAAAGCCTGACTAGACTTGAACTTTTGAAATATAACTAAAATTCCATAAAATTTTGTCACACATTAGACTCTTTTCGTGTACTCATCAGTTTGACTTCTTTAAGAGCTGATATAGACCCTTCTGAATCCTTTCGATTTTCTTGATTAACTTCTGATATATATCACTTCTAATAATTGCTTGGAGCAAGAATGACGGATCGGCAAATACCAAAAGCTCCCTTTATCGGAAGCACATTTTGTAGAATTCTTTAATTAATAATAAAAGTTTGAAAATTTTAGAAAATACAATAAAAATGGGAAAATAGAAAATGTGCAATGACTAGGAATTATTTATTAATTTAATCAGTAAATATTTATACTCCTTTGAGGTAATGTTTAAAGACTTGTCTTTCGCTTGAGACTCTGTCCACGCCTGAGGTGAGTCTGAGTGGACTCAACCTAGTATGACACATTAAAAAAAGAAAAAAAAAAGAAAAAAAGAAAAGATAGAGGAAGAGGGCATGTGGCCAACGGAAAGAAACCCCTGGGCTATCCAGCCGATGTGAAAATTTGTAGAGGGAGAAGCACTTAGGTTGCACCTTGTGCTTCATGAAAATGCAGAGGTCAATAGAATTATTGTGCTCAAATGAAGAAATTGGGTCAAACCTGAGGTCACCATGACCATTCCTAAGCATTGGAACATACATACCTGACCGCCATGTTGTATACAAATCTACAAATGTGTGGGTGCCACCCCCACCCCCCACCCCCACCCCCACCCCCACCCCCACCAACCACTAAAAAATCCAACCACCTACAGGTAGAAATCCAAGAGAGAATAGAAGAAAAGGGACAGAAATTCACTCCCGCAAGAGAGAGAGAGAGAGAGAGAGAGAGAGAGAGAGAGAGAGACG